CGTTTTGTCCGAAAGAGAGAGAAGAAAAATCAAGCTTCTGGCCTACGTTCACACGATCCCACTCCACCCACTATGGCCATCATTCTTCTTTCTTTCGATAATTGGTTCATTATTGTTCAACCTTGTGCCGATTTTTTATGTACCATCCGTAAAAGTCCCAACATTCAACTTCGGAGAGATCACGCACAATAAAGGTAAATCTCCTTTTTTTTTTTTTTTGTTTGGAATTAATTTTTCAGTTTGAATATTTTTTTGACATTGAATTTGATTTGGCTTTGGCTAACTCTTAGGATTTTAAAGGGGTTTAATTTTAGGGGAAAATCAAAATATTCAAACCTAGACCTATCCTGAATTTTCTTATCACAACATATTTCATAGTTCTATTTCAAATTTTGTCTGCGCACCCATCTCACTACCCACTTCAATTGCATACATTGGTTGCACTTTCAGTTTCTTCCTCACTACAGGGTAATCTTTACTATACTATGTTACTGAAACAATTTCTTCGTCACCTAGTGTGTTTCCCTGGATATTAACAACTATAAAATAATGGGTGTGTGATGTGAGGGTGAATATCTGATTTTTGTAGGTTGATGCTATGTCCTTGTTCAATTTTACCAACTTCTGTGGTTTGTGTTTAGTGGTTCAACAACTATGAAACATGTATTCTTGTGTATAGTGTAAAATGTGTTTCGATGTTGTAATATTGTGTACGAAGTGCTAATTGTTGTTGATTCATCTCTGTGTTATGTATTTGGTAGGATCCTTCTCCGCACTTCATGAATATATTGTTTTGGGTTGTTAGTCCATCTATTTAAGTTGTTGCTATTTTGTGCTTCCACGCAAACACGAGCAAAGCAGTCAATGAGTTATTCGCATGGGAGTTCGGCTTATGAGGATAAAGTTGTGCATGAGATGGATGTCACTTGTAATTGTGGTAGCCAAGTGTATTTGAAAGCTTCTTGGACCGGAAGAAATCCGGGAAGGAGATACTGGGCATGCCCTAAATATGGGGTAATTCTCTATTGATACAAACTTGTATTTTTGTTATTTCATTCTTGGTTTACAGATTTACTTGGAAATTGTCTAATACCTCTAAAAAATGTACAGAGTTCAGGCTATTGTGGTTTTTTTATGTGGTTTGATCCTGAAATGTGTGAAAGGGCAAAAGCAATTATACCGAATTTGTTGGATAGAATGTATAAGTACCGACAAGAAATTGAGCAATTCAACATTAGAGAAAGGGAAGGAGCTGCACGCTTGGGGTTCGCGATGCGAAAGCTCGAAGATATGGAGAATGAGCTCAGAGTTTCGAAGAAGTCTGCTAATACATTGTGGAAAGTAGTTATTTGTGTTCCAACAATGCTGTTCATTTTAATTTTATGTTTCAAGTAGATTTATACCTCCATAAGATTTTTTTTTGTCTTTTAAAGTCTTTCCTTTTATTTTAAACTAAATTGGAACATTCATCGACTTGAAAGCCTCTGATCTGTGGCTATTTCACTGCATTTTGTTGAGTTTTTTCTTTTGAATTGTTATGCTGTGAAGATGATTCGACATTATTTTTTAACTAGTGTTTTCTTATCTCACCGCCGGATCGTCTGCTTGTTACATTTTCCTTTACTCGGCATTTTACTTAACCAAGCTTGGAGATTACTAAGCTGGTCTCGGGTATTGTGTACTTTAGGTCATGCTTATTATAGTATGCTTTCTTTGTGTTGAAGGGAAAATTGGGTTCTATGCATGCTTCCGGTTCGTTTGGAAGATATGTTCATGTGTAATATTTGGTATATATAATTTTGTATATCAGATGCTTCTTGCAAGAATATAGCCGTGGAGTTCAACTTTTCAGGTTTACACCGATAAAAGAAAGAAAGAACCACATAAGTTTAGAATTGTTATGAACTTATATATTTACTAACTTGTTATGTTAGTTTGTCAACCATGTTTTTAGTTTATGAATTGTTGTATGTTTTAATATGGGGAAGAGTCCTTTATATTCATAGTGATTGACTCTATTTTTATATGTGGTTTGGAGAAAGGGTTAAATTTTGCTGTAGATTTCTGTATAAAGGAAAGTTGGCTATTGAAGTAACTATAATGTTGACTTTCCTTAACAAAAACTCAAGTTCAACTGAGTTGAAGAGTTGATGAGTAGATATTGTTTAACACTGAAAGTCGAAATGAACAAGATTGATGGAGTATTTATGGAGGCATGAATTATGTATATGTGTAGATATTCAATGATCATAATAGGTATTATTTTATTCGGATAAAGGTACGATATAAAGTGGAATATTTTTTGCAATCGGTAGATTTATTTTCTATAAATTAAATATATGGGTCGTTGTTACCCCTATTAGAACACGCCATATCATATAAACCATTAGATTTAATTATGCAATGACTAATGCTTAACCATATAATTCACTTCGAAACTTTTTTAGGGAATGGTTAAATATAATGATCATAAAGGACAAAAGTGATGAGAATAATTTTTTCATAGTAAAATAGAATCCAAATGGTCCATTTTTGTTATAAACATTAAAGTTGACAAAGGTTCTAACTTGAAAAAATATATATTTTCCTCATTTTGCCACTGGGAAACTGAAGACAGCCGCACACAGCCCATCCAGAAACGACTTCATCATATACACAAGACTCTAGTAGAAAAATTAAGAAACAAAAATCAAATAGCCAAGTCTTCCCACACTCACGACCGGCCTATAAGAAGGCAAAATTTAAAACAAATATATAAGCAAAACTTAATTATAGAGGCTAGTGAAAAAACAATTACTATCAGTTTTTCGAATGCCATCTTCATTAAATGTTCACAACAAGTACCAGCATGAACAATAAATCAGGACCATAAATTTTCGTTGGCCTTTTTATTGGTTCACCCACACAATCTGCTTAAGATGTGATTTGTAGTACCTCAAGGAAAACAAGAGAGTTTGAAATTGGTTCACCCACCCAATCTGCCTTGGCACAAATCCTGCATGGTAAATACATAATAATGTGTGTGCTTAGAAATATCGAGGAATGCGGACAATACTAGTTCTAGGATTAGCACAAATTCTTGACGTGTAAGAAAGAGCCAAAACAGTTTATTGTTTGTCAAAGATTGGGTATCTTACCACTTCAGGTTGAGGCATCAAATCCTTTAATGCTTCCTGCCAAATGCCAATGTCATATTTTCAGTCTACGTAACTAAAAGAATGAAGACGACATTTGGAAAATTGGTGAGTGAAAACTTTGCCACTAATTACCTTGACTGTGTAGTGTATATTACTTGGCGATTATATTTAGTAACAATCAGTTAAGATAAAGCAGATGAGGCCTTTAATATTTATATATGACTTATAGCAAGGAAAATGCATACACGGTTTGCTGCACATGCTTTCTCTCTTGATCTTCTCAGACAAGCTTCAGTGACGCTTTCCAGTGCAGCAGTACCCAACCCTGAATAAGCTTGAAAAGCATGATTGTGACTTTCATTCCAATTTTGTTCCTGCAGAGACAATATGTATGAGATTATACAAAAAGGATAAATATCAGGCACTTGAATGTTTCAGTTCTAGTGAATGTGTTAGCTCTACGGGTTGAATTTGCAATTTATCCCGAGTCGAATCAGTATGTTACCGTGATGTGCTAGGTGGCAGAGTGCAAGCTCAACGTGACGTCTGATTAGTGAAGCTTCATTGTTGGCATTTTGTACTATCCATGGCAAAGCTCCATCTTCTATCAGTAGTGATCGACCTTCTCTTAGTCCTGCCATTTTAAGTGTATTATTACATTATTAAACGGACAAATGCAAGTAAAAAGCATGTTTTTTAATGAATAGCTTACCTTGACTAGATGCCCGAGACTCGCATTTAGCGAAATTCGCAATACCACGGGCAATCTGGGAAATAACACCGGATGTCTACATCTCACCATTCCTCATAGAGCTTTGATGCCACCTTCTGACCTGAGCCTTGTTTGCGGTTTATCTGGAAAGCCATGGGTTTTGTAATCAAATATTTCGAGAAGGCACTCGAATTTAATTTGAACTCCAATTTAAATGACACATTGAAAATGAGAATAATAAATACCATTGCCGCATAAATTAGCAATTTCTCCAGCAACCATTCTTAGAGTCTGAGGGTCTTCAGCATCGGTAGTTGTTGTTGCTAAAAGACATATTCCACCTTGGATTATTATGATCTCTTGATTGGCCTCTGTAAGAAAGATATAATAATAACATAACAAGCAGTTCATAGCAACAATGAGACAAAACAAAATAAATGACCTAGTATTAGAAAGTACCATTCATCGCAAGATTAGCAATGGCACCAGCTGCAATTCTACGTATCGTTTCATCCTCATAAGTTCTAAGGAGCATCAGCAATGACGAGAGACCACCAGTTCTTTTCCTGGTTCGCTTCTATATAGTATACATAACAAGCATCTAAGTTGTGTACAACAGTAGAAAACAACATTGAGAACTAACAAATCAGGAAAAAAAAAACAATAGTTTTCTGCATTTTAATGGATGTAACTGTTAATCATATTTCTCTCTTTTTATATGACAACATAAAAAGAAGAAACAAAAAAAAAAAACCTCAGAAAGGATATCATGTTTCGGAGTACATAGTTTGTGTTGAAACTTAAAAAGTAAGAAAAGTAGGACACCTTCTGCAGCTTAGTTTGCCACCCCTTTGACAGCATGAATCTTTAAATTGGCGTCCTCCGACTCGAGCAGTGATAGTGTCTTTTGTAATCCAACTGCAAAAAATAGAAAGTTAGGTAGATTTAATATCTTGAGGAGAATATTAGAAATGGTAATTCAGTGAACACAAATCAATACCTTGTTCATGAAGGTTTGTAATAGATGCTCTTTCTCCATTGTTACCATCTCTAGACCGCAGATGATTGAGTGGTGTTAAGCAATCTATACCAAGAAGTGGGTTCCCAGAATTGCCTCTTCCATGCTTGCTTTTATTCTATGAACATAATATCAAGAAAAGCTAAAGTAAATATCAATTTCATGTTTTATGTCTGACCAATCTGAGCATCTGATAATGTCTATAATATACTACACTTAAAAATTTACAATATTGCAAACCTCATAGGAACTGACTCAAGTGTCTATCACCAACTTTAAAAAGATCAGAACAGAAATTCTCAAAATTACTTGTGTGACATGAATGCAACTTAACTAGATGACACCCCGACACCCCCAAAGTCACAGCAAAATAGGATGTCTTGAGGTCATTAACCAGATTTAGACACATGCTTAAAATTACGAGAGCATACTTGATTAACTTCCATAGAAAGCTGTGCCACTTGACTTTGTAAGATTCTATCTTCTTCTTCAAGTTTTTTCTTCTAGCTACTCTCCTCTTCCAGCACTTCTTGAAGGCCACCAAAGTCATTAGCATTTCCACCTGCCAACTATACAACATTATTTAGTCATGCATTATCCATCAAATATAAATCTCGCTATCATAATTCACAGTCAATATCAGAAATTCCGAATTCTGAATAATAGCATACCTCAACCCTCGAAAATTGATGTAGCTGACTTTTTAAGTTATGTATTTCCTCTTTGGCTGCATTTCGTAGATGAACTTCCTTTTGAAGCAATGATTTCAGTTCAGCAACCTCTTCGCCAGCATCCTTGCGAACCTGCTGAAGAAAAAGTTAGTAACCTTGACTGAATTTTGCAATTAGTATCAAACAAGTAACTAGAGGAAGTGACACCATCCTATAGAAGAATACCTCTTCATTACTGACAAGCTTTTGTTGGTTATGGGCCCATTTCTCCTCAAGCTTCGTAATTGACTCCATATAATCCATCTGGCATTTTGTATTCTCCTCCTAATACAAAAGGCAGGCAATGGAAATTCTAGAGTCCAAGTAAAATGTTATTGAAATCGAGTAATTATCCACCAGACTTGTGATATGCACAGGTCAGAGGCATGTGCATGTAATAGATATACCTCCAAGACTTCTACATAAGTTCTTCAGCATCAGCAATGTGTTTCTGTGCCTCTAATCTGATTCACTCAATCTAATTGTCGTAAAATTTTTGCTGTCTTCCATTTTCAGCAATAAGTTGGTCGATTTCTACCTCAAGCCTTCTGGACAAACTCTTGTAATCGAATTCTTCCTTTATCTTGAGCATGTTCTCCACCTTCATAGCCTATGGAGAAATCAGACATATATACTGAAATGAAATGTTATTTTGTCCAGTAATAAAAAACAACTGTCGATAAAGTTACTTTTACTCTGTGCCGCAAATATAACTTCTCACTCTAACAACTCACCCTTTGACCAAACAATATCGTGCTTGTTGTTTCTGCTCGATGGCGTGGAGATGGACCTATCGTGAAAACTAATGAAGTTCTGGATGTTCCTGCAGCATTACAAGTTAAATAAAATCAAGTCATGAACAATCATACATTTCCTCACTGCATTCATGAACTCATCACTTTTGGTGTCATCCAACCAATTTTTTCGGGAACGGCCATGATAAAGAGGAATGAAGCACTAAGAGAAAGGTTTATGGACTTGGCTTATTCTAACAAGAGTCCCTCGCTTCCTTCAAGGAACAATTAGCAGTATCTCAGATTACTATTGCAGACTGTAAACCAATGAAGGAAATCCATTCATAAACGTCAAAACAAGAATGGCTCAGAGAACGGACGCAAATATAGTCTCCTGAAAACCTCTTCCTATATATGGCATAATTACTCAGTATAGATCTGAGAACAAGCCCACTGTCGGCTAACTCTTGTAATAAATGTGATCTGTATGCTCAGTCATATTGATGGCGACGAGATCGCCTTGGCGTATTTGGCGAAATATGATCGGCTTCGGGTCTAGTCGAAATATTATTGCACATATTATTTATTTATAACCTATTTTCTTTTTATTTGTTGCCTTTTATCTATTAGGAAAATAAGTATGGTTGCTTTAATTAATTAGGGAATAATGTCTTGTTAGGAGTCTATTTATTTGGGTCATCCCCATCCTTCTGAAGACAGTTTTTACGATCAGAAATAAAAATATCTTGAGTTCTTTTATATGTTCCCATCGTAAGCTTCTATCTGCGTCACATATACACTAGGAGTTATAGAATAACCCAAAATAAAGTACTACCTTTTTTTCTTTATCCCAATATATAAACATATATACATCTAAATAGGATAAATTGAAATAACACCCCAGCCAGGTTAGTCCAGAATGAAGATCCTACAATGCTATTCAGCTGGTCACATTTTTCCGCATATTTAATCTTATACAGATGATTCAAATCTTGGGCTTTAGCATCGAGAGTTAGAAAACCTCAACTAGCTCGTGTGAAAATTCATCTTCTATGGATAGTATCAGCAAATAATTTTGTCACATTTCCTGCTCATGTTTCTTAGAGAATAATATATTAAAACAAGAACATGCAATGCAAGCGAACAATTTTATAACTTCAGAAAAATCAGATAAATTGAAGCCGGCAGTCTAATTACAATTACCTGATTTGTGTATACATTCAGAACCAGCTAGATCGACAACAACTAGTTTGCCTTTCCGAAGCATAGGGGGCCTAATATTGCCGACCATATCAGAGTGGTCTCGAGTTTCGATAGAAAATTCATCCCTGTCGGGCAGAGACTACTTCACTTGTACCTATACTATGCAGCACACGTGTTACAGTGGTAGAAGCGAGAGAAGAAAAATAGAACAAAAAAAGGAAGAAGAAGAAGAACGAACGAACGAACGTAACCATGAAAAAATTTATAATTTACCATGAGAAGGGCATGGCTACGGGAAGACTCAGTGTTCAGTTTCGTGTTAGCAGCAATCCTACGAGCTTCCCCTGCGCGCAGAAGATCAACAAAACTTTGCTGGTCCCTGATCTCCAAAACAGTTGCCCCTGGCAAAGAAACATCACCACTTTTTTGGTCTTCAACTATTGAGATATTATCATTTGCTAAAAATAATTCTTGTTAGGGAAAAAAGGTGACCACAGTTTGAGATATTTCAAATTACATCTAAAATTGCTCTATGTCGAGAAACTTCAAAGATAGCTGAAATCCAGGTGAGATAAAATGTATATAAACAGTGTTGAACTATGAGAAAATTCCACATGCTTAATTTAATAAAATCGTAACAGTCCATATGAATTCATTAAACACCAAATCAATCTGATTCCTCACCAAATCGCCATGATTCACGTAGAAAAATTATGCAGAGATGTACAGTCAAGTTACGATTCCGAGAACAGCATGTCACAAATAAAACACAGTCCTCTGAATGACCAAGTTTCAACCTGAGAGCAACAACATGAAAATAAATAAAAGCACAACACCAGTGCATAATCAATCAATTCAATAAAACCGAGTAAAACGAAACAAATTTTGAAAAAAAAAAAAAATCAAAGTATAGATGACCATAATAACCTTTGGAGTTGCCTGGAGCTCAATTGTGTGAGATTTTATATGAACAATACCAGAATTTATATTGCCTTCAACATGTTTCTTCTGAACGAGAAGATCAAGGACGCCAAGTAATAACTCAAACAACCTGCAACACCATCAGTGCATATACTATTCCAATTTTCAAAAAACAATTCACATTGTGAAACTTCTTGCTTCTTTGTCGGGAGGAAATTACAAAAACCTACGAATTCTCCATAAAGTTCTCCAAATTACAGAAACCTAAGAAGTCACAAGGCATTGCTGCCAAAACCAATATAAACAAATTTAGATGAACGATTAACATGACACCACTTAACCAATATAAATCTATTTGCAGGGTCACTGAGATTAAAAACGGTCAAATCGATATAGACACACAAATGAAGATTCAACTTCAAATTAGACAAACTGAAGAAGTTATTTAGCCAGCAAAACGTGCCGACGAGCATTCAAATCCTTATACTGTAAGAGAGTGTAATATCATGCTCTAAAAGCTCGGACCCTCTCATTCTTCAAGTAGTTTCTTTCATCTCTGATCGCGAGCTTACCCTTTCCTCTCATCTCTAATATCCAGGTATGTCATGAAAAAAAATAAAAAACCAATAATAAAATATAAAGAACAATACAAACACCTGCTTGGTAGAAATGAGTTGGATACACGTGTAGATAGAGACAATTTTAGAGCGATTAACTGCTGAAAACCTAAAATTTTACCAGTCCTACATACAATCACATTCTTGGACTATGACTACGACGTTCATCAAAACCCTGCATTTCGAAAAGTAAAGGTTAATAACAATTTCATAATTTCTATAGCATCACAAGCATTACCATGGAAGAATTGTTACCCTTCTCTTCATTCATTCTGATGCTTGTCTGACTCGAAGTGCCAAATTGAGCCTCCACACTACTTGGATCAAACGAAAACAACAAATCCTGTTTCATATAGGTTAGCATATGGAAAGTTTAATACTATATTGGTAAAATGAAGTTAAGTTCGTGAATTATTTTACCTGGAAGCTTAAGTCATTTCCAGAATATTGATTAAATGTAGGAAAAGCATTTGGTTGTTGATTCACATGGCTAGAGTTTGCATATTCACAACTGTGATATCCCCTCTTTGAGCTGGCATGAAAAGAAGATTGATCTTGGCTATTGTCCTCGCCTGAAGTGTCAAAATCCAATGAATCTTTGTCATCTTCTCTGGATTTCATCTTGGGGCATGTTGTTTTATTGTGTCCAGGAAGCCTACATAAACATTTCATAAATTTAAAGTAATATGTTAGCAAAGGTTACATGGATATTTCACAATGTGTGTAAGGCCTGATAATAGATTTTAATACAAATAAGTGACTTTTAAGTATAGTGAATATGAGAAAATACCTGCATTTTCTGCACCTTCTTGGTTTTTGTTTGGAATGTAAACCACTTGATCCTTTAGTTTTTGTAATTATTGGATCACGCACACCAAAACGATGCTTTTCATTTTTCTTTGAAGCATCGGTTTCATTGTCAGAAGGACAGGAGTTGGCATAAATTTCATGCATTCTATTGGTCACCCGAGCGATTGTGTCACATAATTCGCCATACCCTTCATCGCATAATGAGGCATAGTAACACATCTTGTTACAAAGGGAAATCAAAGAACCATAGCGTGCATTTTGAGTGACATCTTTACGAATTTCTGGTTCTTTTTTGCTGAGCTCATTTTGCTTAGCATCCCGAGTCCACCTCTTCATTACACAAGTTGAAGGAATCTCTTTTATATGTTCGGCTTTCATCACTGCAAACATATGAGCACAAGGCCACCCAACCGTCTCGAATTGCAAGCAAGAGCACTCATATAAACGGGAATCTTTATCAAATTTTACGGTAAGTGTAAGATCAGGCTTTGAATACTCATATACAGAGTACATCTTGGTTGAACCAAATTCATGCTCAATTTTGCTCAATAATACAGCTTCTTTTTTTATTTCTTCACGAACAATAAAGAACATATTTCTGGTCAAAGAATCTGCCGCATGTTTCTCGATATCTTTCAAATGAGTACTAAGTACAGGAGAGCTATTTATTGTTACAGCATCTGCCTTTGCTTCCATATATCTTAGCCTTGCCAAAGCCAAATCAAACGATCTAACAAATTCATATAACCTCATTTTAAGATTCACATGCTTCTTGAAATATGCATTCATACCTTCACACCGCTGAGTGCATTTCATATTTCCGAAAAAATGTCCCCTTAAGTATGCTTCTGCCCACTTTGAACGTTTTGAATACGTCTCGTTTACCCATGAGTTATTTTCAACTTGTTGCTTTTGGATACAATCCTTCCAGCTCCTTTCAAATTCTCCTTTGCTGCAAATTTTATTCATACATTTGTAGAAGGCTTGACAAAAGCACGTGGAATGAACATTTACAGCCGCATTCCGCTGAAGGTGCCAGCTACACAATCTATGCCTCGCCTCTGGAAGAACATTCTCTATGGCTAGTCTCATAGCATTATCCCCATCTGTGATAACTGAAATAGGTTTTTTACCTCCCATTGCAGCTACAAAGGTCTCTAAGACCCAAACGTATGTCTCTTCAGTTTCATCTGACAACAGTGCAGCCCCAAAAATTGTAGTCATGTAATGGTTATTTACACCTGCTAATATGACCAGAGGTTTCCGATAAGCATTAGTCCTGTAGGTCGTATCAAACACCAACACGTCTCCAAAATATTGGTAATCTGACTGGCACCTAGATTCAGCCCATATCAAACGACGTAATCGATTGCTTTCGTCGACATCAAACTTGAAGAAAAATGATGGATCTGAATCTTTTTTTGCACTGAAATAGGCCAAAGCACCTTCCGCATCCCCGTCTCGTATTTCTGCTTTTCGTTTGGCGTAGATACAGTTATACAAATCTTTCAAGGTAAAGCCAACTTTGTGGTATCCACCCGCTCGATGTGCAAAAAAATTCATTATCTCACTCGTACGCCAACCGACTTCATGCATGGAAATCGCTTCTACAAGATCAGACTCTTTCACCGATCGATGGGAGAACAAAAATGATACGCCCTCCTCAGTCATGAGTTCATGGTTGTGTTTCTTTACAAATTCAGTGACAACAAACTTCTTTAGCCTCTTGTTGTACTTGACACGAAATAATGCTGGGCAACCAACTCTAGTCATGGGCCTGGGTTCTCTTGTTTTATCTTCCTTTTCTAACCACTTTTTATCACGGAACCCTTCCTTAGAACAAACCCATTTACGCATGTCAATCATACCCGAGCTTTTGTTGCGTCGTACATCTTCCTTTCTGATTGAAAATCCTGTACATTTGGCATAAAAATTATAAAAATCCCCAGCTTCCTCCTCAGATTCAAACATTTTTTCTTTTATATGATTTCCATCTACGTCAAAATCATCAATCCATTCTGGCTTATACCGAAAATGTTGTTTGTCTTTCGACGGTATCTCGGAAGTCCCAACATTGTCCATCTTCCTGAACATCCCAAAAGAAGGGTCATTAAACATAAAATTCCAAAATTTAATTTGAAAAAATATAATATCTAAGAGTATGAGTCCAATGTTGCAGCCATTTGTATGCTTAATATGAGTTTGACATCAAAACAAAACAACTAAAATATCATTTGTTCATTATTTTTGAATTCGTCTATAGAATTCTAGAAAATTTTTGCATTTGTGACATAAAAAGTTTGAAAAAAAAAATCCAAAACACAACATAAAAATATGTTATGTAAAAAATATACAACAGCCCTTAGAAAAGAAGAACATCGAGCAGTTCCCTTTAAAACACAAGCATAAATATGTTTCCCAATACAACCAAATAAAAATAGAATTAAATTAAGAAATACCTTCTTAGACTGAAAAATGAGCGAAAAATATGAAGAATCGAGCAACCTTT